TAAGGGAGAGGAGTCAGGAAGGGGTATATGGGAAGTAAGATTGAAAAGCATTGCTTTGATCACATCGTGGAGGGTCCTGGGTGCCAGGCTGTGCATTTACTGTGCGCTTCAATGGAAAGGACGTGTTGATACTGAGAGCCACTGGGGCAAGATGCAGACAGAAACCAGGGGTTGCAATGCATTTGGATCTAGAGTCTGGGGAGAAAGGGACAGAAATAGAGAGCCTTGATTGCAAATAGAAAGGATGTAACAAGAGTAAAATAGCGTGGTGTCTGGTTGTGCATGGTCAACTCTGGACAGACAAGTCCAGAGTGCCTGAGATTCTGAGCCTGGCCCGTTGGGACTGGACAGAAGGGAATCAGAAGAGAGCTGGTTTTCATAGGGTCTCTGTTTGGAGTATTGGGTTTGAGGTGACATCCCAATCGAGAAACCCAGCTTGGGGTTCGAGATGCCTGTTTGGAAATTTGATGAGAGGTCAAAGCAGAAGTATGGGAGTCATCCCTGTCAAGGTAATGGTTGCACTTGGTGAGTGGGAAACTCCCGAGGGAGAGGAGACAGTGGAACTGAGCCGGTGACAGAGCATACATGTAGAAGCAAAGGGTGGGAGGGCGGGCACAAAGGAGAGAGGAGCTGACAGTCAGGCGAAGAGAAAGCCAAGGAAGGGAGGTGCAGAGAAGGTGGGAAACCAGCCGGCGCAGCCGAGGTCTAGAGCAGGACGTGCAGCCGCGGCACTTTGACGCTTGGAGCCAGGCCGCTCCTTGTTCTGGGGACTGTCCTGTGCATTGGTGGATCTTGATCAGCATCCTGGTCTCGACCCACTAGATGCCAGTAGCAACCCATCCTCCATTGTGACCACAAACTATGTCCCCAGACATTGCTAAATGTCCCCTCGGGGCACAGTTGCCCCTGTTGAGAACCACTGGTCTAGAAGAATAAGGAATATAAAAAGACGGCTGGGTTTGTCAGTGAAGAAGATTATTTGAGTGAGTCAGACTACAGAGAATTGAAAACAGATAGGGAAGCTTGACTTGAACCCAGCAAGACCCATCTCAGAATGTAAGGCAATGAAAACTGGTTTTCAGCCACTAGATGAGCGGCACTTTGTTGGAGCACCAGTCGGAAGCAGTGCTGCATGTCAATAAGAAAGACAGATTACAGTTTTAAATGGATCATTCAGAGCTGAGAGACATAGCTGTCTAGTAGATATGGTTCAAAATACTGAGTAATCAAAGAAATCAAATTTAAGTGAGCTATATTTTGCGTATTAGATTAGCAAACATTTCCATAGATACTGTCGACCCGGTGTTCTCAAGGATCCAAGAGGAGAGTCTTGGGTCTTCTTGGTGATCGTCTGAACGGGAAGCCGTGCTAGAGAGACATTGACAGAACCCATCGAAGTGAAAAATGAAAGATGGTTTTGAATCTTTTACGGTGAGACTATCTTTCCACGTTACTCCTGAAACTTTTATTCATTGCATAGAAAGAAGCAGGGCCCAAGGGCAGCACAAGAAAACCTGAAGCAAACGCAGAGAGGAGGGTGACTTAGAAGGTCAGGGAGTGGGGGACAGGCACACTGCTGTGGAGGTTCGGGGCAGGGCAACAGCCGCCCTGGCCTTAGTCGTGTCCCTGCTCGTCACCCCAGCTGCTCGGGCTCCTCCTCCCACACCCAGTCAGCCTTCTGTTCAGTGCGTCTGTCTGTGGAAGTGTCTGCCGCCCTGTAGGACGTGCGGCTGCCAGCGGAGTCTGTCAGTCATCTCCGCACACCCCGCGCAGCTGCTGCCGAGACAGCACCGCGATGAGAAGGTGTCTTACCGCCGGACACGTTCCCATAACAGCAGTCCTCGGGGATGCATACACCTTCCAGCAGAATCTTAAAAGTAAACCCGGTCAGCACTCAGACAGCTGCTTGTGCCAGGGTTGGAGGTGGCAGACGCTGCTACTGCTGTTACCAAGTTTCAGACTCTTACAGATGCACGCAGCGGGGTCCGGCCACCCTCGTTGCCCCCTCTCCTTGCCTGGCTGTTTCCCCAACACATGATCTTGAACATTCCGTAAACGCTCCCCAGAGGCGCGTTCCCAGTGACAGCGTGGGTTTGTCTTTGTGGCTGCAATGCACAGGTGGAGGGGAGCCATTAGTTAGAGGTGCGTGTGGGTGTCTAATCATCGTAGACTAGTCTGGAAAGGGATGTCTGGCTAAAACCCTTCACTGCAGAGACCGGAACGGAGGCCGGGGGAGAAGAGTGCCTTGGGGTGTCGCTGTTAGTGGGGAAGCGGGGGCGAAATGCTCTCTGCTGATTTGGGGCTCAGGGGTCTTTTCTCCGCGTTGGCCTTTCTTCCCCACGTGCCTTAGGTAGAATCTGTGCTTTCTTGAGCTTTCCTTTAGGAACTTGTCATACATCATTAGTTTAAATGTACTAACGGTTTAAACTTTGGGCCAAAATTTCCATGTTGTGGACTGAGATCAGGTGTCTAATTCACAGCCTCACTGACAAGCTGTGACAGTAAGCTACCGCCAGTCGAGCTCCTTGTTGTCAAGGGACCTATAAACTACCCCACTGGGTAGTTAACCATTCATTGGTCAGCTCTCCTGGGGGCTCAGGAGAAAACGCCCACCCCCTGTTGGCTTTGCAGTTTGTCAGTTCTGCAGCCTGACCACGTTCTCCAAAATCCCTTTCTTGTGTGTTTCGATGGCGATGAGCCCCAAAGGAGATTCTGTGGAGGCTTGGAGGGTGGACCTGGAGCAGCAGGCGTTCTTACAACCTTGTCACTTTGTGCTGGCTCAGCGTGCTGGCATGAGGCAGCAGCTGGACCTGTGGTTGCTGCGCCTGCCCCTGGGTCCTCGCCTCACCGGGTGTGTGTTCAGCTCTGGCGAAGGGCTTAGCTTCTGCAGGACACCACACTCCCAGTGCTGGAGGCGACACTCACTGGCATGAGGCCAGCTCCTACTTGTGGCGTCAGTGTGTTGCTTGTTGCTCTCCACTTTATTTCCATCCTGCCCGGGCCTCCCTGCCCTGCAGACTTGGAGCTCCAGCTGCAGGGCAGACAGCAGCGTTGCAGAGACTGCTCTACCCGCTCCCACAGCTGCACGTCAGATTCCCGGAAATATATTGTCTTTATACACAAGTGCGCGCACACACCTCCAGTGGTGCTGTTTCTCTAGCTACACCGTGACTGCCACACACCATCCCCCAGGTGCTACTGTCTGATTCAGCAGGACTTTATCAGTGGCCTGGCAGAGTTCCTGCTGGACAGTACAGCTTTGGACACCCAGAACCCTACCCTGTGGAATTCTCCACCATCCAGAGGCATTCCACACTGCCCTGGGACCAGTGGCCCAAAGTGTAGTCAGAACGTAAAATCTCATTAAAGATGCTGTTTCAGAATATATTGCTTTATCACCTAGAAAGCCTACCAATGACTTTTGGTCTCACTATTCAGGGCAAAGTTTAAGGTGCTTAGGATTCTGTTAGAAGCTAAAAGCAAAGGAAGGGAAAGAAGAAAGCATCCGAAGAGGTGTCCTCGTGGGCTCCATTGATCTTGACTTTGGAGTTCTCCCTCAGGTCTCGATGTCGAGGGAAACACAGCTAGTTAGGAGGGAATGAGAGGGCCTCCGGAAGTACCTCCGGCCTGTGGCAGTGAGACGCTGACCAGCCGAGGGAGTTAGCAGGAGAGTGGTCATCCAGACACTGGGGAAGTGTTTGTAGGAAGACGGCGTCCACCTCACGCTCATCGGTTGGTTTTGCAGTGAGACCAGTGTCTTTAGTGACAGGTGAGAGACCCGAAAGCAAGCTGTCATTCTGGACTTTAATGAAAATGTTCCTTGAGTTGATTACCCCGCGATGGCCCCCTGCCACTTCATCTGCATTCCATGTGCTGTGACAGACACATCATAGACGTTGGTGGTCGTGATTGTGGCCAGAGGGCATCAGAGCTCCCGTGTCCTCAGAGCGGCCCATTAAAGAAGGCAGGGGGCTGAAAGGACACTATTTTACTTTTTTACATTCGCTTACTTGCTCTAAGAGTTTCCTCAGCGCGGATTCCTGCCTTCCTGCGTGTCTGCCCACAGAGCCCTGAGTGGATCATCATTCCCTCGCCTTACTTGGTAACTTTCTCTTGGACTCTGATCTCCACTAGTTCCTGCACTTCATTCAGAAGAAAATTCGGTGCCCCAGTGAATGAATCCTGAAGTACTGTTATCCACGAAGTCAGCCCTGAGGGGTCTGAATAGCTGAGGTTTTATTCCACATTCTAAAAAGGAAATAGAATTTGGATGAGCCTAATTATAAAAACATTTGCAGTGGGTTTACATGAATGAATTGGTGGATGAGCGTTCTGGGCCTAGTTTGCAGCAGAGAGTGTAAAGAGGATGCCTCAGAGCTCAGTCGTCTGCCGTCTCCGTCCTGAGCATCCTCGTAGGCCAGTGCCTCCCCCAGGCCGGACCCGAGGCTCCTTCCCCTGCCGTGCCATGTGGGCTTTAGCCATATCTGTGACTCCGTATAAAACACAGTTGGTTCTAAGTGCACTGTTTCTTTCTAGATACAAGTGCTCATCTAGGGCCCTCCGAGCTTTTCTTTACATTGAAAGTGGAAATTAACACTACCTGGCCCCAAACGGAGGGTAGAAAAGGGAATGCGATGCTTGCAATACTGATGCATGAGATGATATTGACACCATTTTTTTCTGAAATGTTACTTTTATATGCAACAAAACCAAGCATTCTGGCTACCCCAGGGTCTCGAAAATTGAAAGGATTTGGACAGAACACAAAAATCTCTAAGGAAGGATAATTGTTTTAATAGCTGCCCTAGGGGAAAGGCAGATGAGGGTAAAGCTATCCCAAATGAGCGTTTAGATACATCTTGAGGACGGTCATGCACAGCCCTGCCAGGAACTGAGTGAACCTGATTGTGGCTGTCCTTGTGTTTCTGACCCATGCCCAGGCCGCGGTGAGTGTGACCTGCCTCACTGAGTCGGCTCCTCTCGTGCCCTTGTCTCTGCAGCGCGAATCTGTCCAAGGCGGCCTGGGGAGCCCTGGAGAAAAACGGCGCTCAGCTGATGATCCGTTCCTACGAGCTCGGGGTCCTCTTCCTCCCGTCAGCATTTGTAAGTTCGTACTTTAAACCGCGTGACCTGTCGCGTGTGAAGTGCATTGGGTCTTCAGTTTCCTTTGCTAGTCAGGATGACCTGGCCGAGGGGGGACGCAGCAGAACCAGGTGCTCACCGGAGCCGTGCTCTCAACCACCGGCCTGCGCTGACGCGCGCAGCATCACTGCTCTCGAGTAGACCTGGTGAGATCGGAGGTGTTGACAATATTTAAGTGAATGTTGTGCAACATGGTGTGAAGATTTATTACAAGGTGGTGAGTGATGAGTTGCCAAAGCAACAACACAGCCACGTGCGAGACATCTGAGGTTGGGGTGATGCCTTTGGTGACGGTTGAAGGATGCTTAGGATTTAGTGGAGAGGGACGGGCATCCCGCTGAGGGAACAGCGTGAGCACCAGCACGGCAGGGATTTCACACCGTCTGCTGGAGATGGGCGCCAAGCACATGTGCCGTCAGACCCCCAGGGAGCTCCCCGGACAGACCTGCAGTGGGAAGCCGTGTGTCTCTCGAGGTGTCCAGCACAGCCAGCTCATGTCTGCTGCTGAACCTAGACAAGGTGGCGAGTTTTCGTGTAGGGACTGGGTTGTACAAGCCATGTGTGTCTCCAAACGCTGTATCACTCTTGGCCCAGAGAGACGTGCCCACAGTAAGGCACACAGGCGCGAGACCTCCCGAGTCCCTCTCTGCAGGCACTCTGGGCAACGCTCACTGTGGCTCGTGCGTTGGTCACAACTGCCCTCACGGTGAGATGGCTGATGCTTTATTGTTCCTTCTTTCTTTGCCACTTGCTATGGTTGAGTTTTTATAAACACGCACCTGATGCAGTTCCTTGGAAACCACTAGACGAGGACCAGGAGGTTCAGTTCATGGAGTGCTGTGCCCTTGTCCTTAGGCCTTAAACCCGGACCCACATAGCATGTGAGCACCTGCCCGCCCGCCCAGCTGCCCTCCCAGACTCATTTCCCAGGAGGCTCTGGTGAGAGCTCTGCCCTCCCCTCCCCTCCTCTCCCCTCCTCTCCCCTCCCCTCCCCTCCTCCCCTCCCCTCCCCCCTCCCCCCCTCTCCCCTCCTCTCCCCTCCCCTCCCCTCCTCCCCTCCCCTCCCCTCCTCTCCTCTCCCCTCCTCTCTTCTCCTCTCCCCTTCTCTCCCTTCCCAACCTTTATCCATCCTTTCCTCCCCATCTCAGAGGGTTTCCCCACGGAACTGCCTGACAGGCCTCTCCTGAGGGTAGTGTCATAAGATCCCAGCACTACAGTCAAACAGCACGTCCCAACACGGTTTACAGCTGAGATTTCCACATCCACGGCCCTGTAGTAGACGGTCGCCCGTTTTCCACAGATGAGGACGTGACCTCCCGAAGGTTCCTCAGAGGAGTGCAGTCAGCCCTCCACCCTGCGTCTCTGACCCTCCTGGGCCCGCTCAGCGTTGTCCCAGGGAAGTGGGAGATTCACAGTGCCAGGACGTGACACTCGGCAGTTTGGTGTGTGGTAGCCGTGGACGGAGGCCAGGGTCACCCTCCAGGACTGGCTGAAATGATGGAGTGAGTCCACGTCACTCTGGCTTTGTGTCAGCATTTGCTTGGTTCTAGTGGTCTCACTGCTCTGACCGATCCCTCTCGTGGAAATGACGGTCGGAAGGAAGGATATTGTCTTGCCCCAGGCCTTTAGACCCTTCAGAGCTACTGATCTTACCTCTGCTGCTGTTTCTGACTGTACACTAGAGGACTAAAGAGAAAAAATTGGGGTAATCCTTTAGAATCTCTGACCTGAATCTCTGCTAGGCTGACTTCTGCACCCCTGGGGCGCATTGCGGGTAAAGGAGAGATTGGGGTGTCTCTGAGGGCCGTCGGCCAGCATGGGAAGCGTGGATTCCACCCTCCACTGTGCCAGCCGATCAGCAGCAAGGCCCCAGCCGGGGTGACCCTGTGATAACGCACCGAGAGGACAGCAGGTCCTCAAACAGTTCCTGGGCTGTCTCAAGATGAGCCGGCTTCCTCATAGCACTGGTGGGGACCCGCAGACTGCCACTGCCTTGTCATCATTCTTCTGGTGGTCATCGGTGTCCCTCAGTGAGTCATAAGTGACTTGGGCAAGGTGCTGACATTGGGCGTTTGGACAGTGCACAGGAGTGTTGACCTGCCCTCCCGAGGAGCTGATAGTCATGTTGGGCAAGAAGGTCCTAAAATCAAGCACACCTGGTACACAGTGTCACAGGTGCGAGCTGGGTGCTGCGATGTGTGCGGACGGGACCTGGCCTGAGTGGACAGACCCCAGAGGGCTGTGAGGGGTGTTTATGTTCTCTTCGTTGCATTTTACAGACTCCAACTTGAGCTTACGTAAGCCCACAGGAGGGGGAAATGTCATGAATTCAAAAGGAAGGAGGGCCCTGGCCAGTTTGGCTGAGGGGTTAAAGCATCAGCCTGCAGGCCAGTGAGTCGTGGGTTCGATTCTGGTCAAGGGCATGCACCTCGATTTTGGTTCATTCCCGGCCCTGGTCGTGTCGTGTGGGAGGCAACCAGTCGATGTTTCTCTCTCTTCCTCTCTCCCACTCCATCTGAAGATAAATAGAAAAATAACCTCCAGTGAGGATTAAAAAAAAAAAAAGGAAGGAGGAGCAGCTGAGACGAGGAGGCCTGAGGCCGGGCCAGCTTTGGGGCTCCAGCAGTAGGCGCCCCTCGCGGCTGCTGCCGCTGGTGTGACTCCCCCCCCCCCCCCCACGGGCTCTCGTGCACTCGCCGGCCATTCTGCATTCACGGTGACCGTTCAAGCCTGGGTCTGCCCTCCATGCCTCTGCACTGCCCTGCCCCGTCCTCGTAGTGGCCTGCTCCCAGGAAGGGAGGGTTGCTGTGAGCGAGGAGGCCAGCCTGAGCAGTAGACACCACCGGACAGTTCCCCCAGGAGCTGATGGGTGCTCGACCCGTCGGCAGAAAGCAGCTCGGGACTCCTGCAGCGCCGGAGACTGTCCTCTCGCTGCTGCGTCACATCTGAGTCACTTACTGCCTGTGAAGCTTCTGGGGACTCATGGGCTCGGCGTGGCCGCCATGGAACTAACATTTATGGTTTTGACTCTGAGGGCCTATCTATGCCATGAGGTAATTTGTCATTTTGCTGAGGTTATGTGAGCCCCGAATGAGACACTTTGCTGGCGAAGAAGAGGCTGTCCCGCAGAACGACTCGGCCCTGCCCTCCGCGGCGTACAAGCCTGGACGGAACGTTCTGTCCGCGGGGTTGACCTCACGGGCTCGGCTCAGCCCCAGGCACCGAGCCTCCTGTTCAGGGGGCCCAGGGAACAGGAGCAGGGATAAGAATGGGGTCTTTGTCCTCGTGAAGCTCGGAGGAACAGTTACTGCAGTGTGGGACGAGAGCGACGGCATGGGGCGTTCAGATACAAGGACTCTGAGACGCGGGAGCGTGTAACCTGCCTGGAGGAGTTGGAGAAGGCTCACTGAAGGAGATCACATTTGACTGTGGTCTTGGAAAACGAGTAGGAGCTTAACACACCACCCAGGAGATGCGGCTTCCGGCAGAGAGAGGAGTGCGCGTCACGTTGGAAACAGCTCGGTGCGGCCGGGGCCGTGGGACCGGAGTCCTCTGCTGAAGGACAGTGGCAGGCAGGACGCACCGCAGCTACCAGTGTTTAAAGCAGGATTACTAGTTTCATCAGGTCAGTTTTCAGAGAATTTGAATCTTATAAAACATCTCTAATTATTATAATTTAATTGATGTTACTCATTGTGGATGTCATAAAAATCATCTTAATCCCCTAAGCCACACTTATGAAGTCCTGATCATTACTGAATTGCTGTCACCACTCACCTCACTGTCCTAGCTCGAAGTGTGGAAAGGCCTCCCTCGTGCCTCCTTTCCCCCGGTGCCTGTTCAGTCACCAGGCGAGTCACTCCTGACTCTAATGCTGCCCGATAGTCCGTCATTTCTGGCCATCCCTGCTGCCACTGTGTCCAGGGCACCTCAGCTCCTGCTACGGCAGCCTCTCCCACGTCCCTCCGCCTCCGAGCTGTCCTCCACCCTGCTGCCAGAATGTCTTTGTAGACCACAGACCCCGTCAGGTTGCCCATCTGCCTCAAATCCTATAGGGCAGAGGCCAGACTCCTTAGCATGGCCTCCTTTTCCCTTCGTGCCCTGACGCCTGGCTCCTCGGGCCTCTTCCCTCCCCTGGCCCTTTGGGCCCGGCCATGCAGAACGGGCCCACCTGTATTCATCCGTCAGGGCTCTCCAGGGAAACAACCGATAGGACATTCAGATGTGTTAAAAATTCTGTATCAGTCATGATCCTGAAGTGGTTTCTGACAAGATCACAGTTTGTTGCAAAATGAGGCGGGTGCTCTTTCTCCCTTTCAACCCCTCTCTTCCTCTAGCAAGACATGCCTTTTAATGTTTTCAGTTACATATTTGACAGATAGACGTCCTCAATACCAAGTTTTGTAGTCATTCTTCTGACTGGACAGCATCTAGAATCTGGTTTCTTGTGTTGAAAGAACTCAGAGGGTCTGAAGGCTTTGCTAGAAACAAAGGATAAAGATTTAGTCAAGGGTCTTGGGGTTCGCAGACTGGAAACACAACCAGGCAACAACCCAGAAGTGTTCTGAAGAAGAGGGAAACATTAAGAGTTTTGATCATGAGAAGTGCGTTCTGAGCCCTGGGAGTGGTCCAGGATGGTTCTCAGCCTGCTGTCCGGCATCTGGAGGACAGATTCAGGTGGTCTTCTCACACCCGGGGTGTGGGGAGGCTGGCAGGCGGTCTGGATATGCGAGTCCTCCAGAGGTCATCAGAGGGTTACCTGGAGGTCTGCATGTATGTCCAGGCATTGATGCAAGACTGGAAAGTTCAAAAGTTTGCCTTCCCACGCTTTTAAAACAAGAATAGAATCGTTTCTTCATGCCTCAGCCTACTTGATTTTAGCAATTTAGCAGCTTGACTACGGTGGCTTTTTATTTCTTCGCTCTGTTCCTCACTTGAGATCAGCCCACCTTTGTGCTTCT